ATATATTTTTAGTTGTCCGATTAATTTCTTTCTATTTTTAGTAGAGACAGGGTCTTGCTCTTGCTCAGGCTGGTTTCAAACTCCTGAGCTCAAATAATCCACCCGCCTCGGCCTTCCAGAGAGCTAGGATTACAGGCGTGAGCCACCGTGCCTGGCCCAGTCTTGGCTCTTGATCAAATTGCTCTCCCTCTCTGTGCTTTATTTCCCTCATCCGTGGAACCAGGACAATAATCTAGTGCATGGTCAGTGCAAAAAGCAACATCTGGCAAAATATGCAGTAAATGTTGGTTAATTCTTATCATCTACTCATTTTCTGGAGGAAGTGGGATGACAATGCTAAGGGTCTAGGTCAGGGGAGGGGAACATTTTCATGTTGGGAGGGCACATGAATTTAGCTGTAATCAAATAAGACCTGGCTGCATTCAAGAAACTTCAATTAGATAAAAATGTACGTTATTTTGTAAATATCTAACTACTATGTACTTAATAATTTCAAAAAATGAAAACCGTTTGTTAATTTTAAAGTTAACTAACCTTTTGTGTCTGCTTTTTGTTGGAAAGTATTTGAATATTTGGTTGCAGCATGGAGGTCTGCAGTTTCAGTTGATCCTTTACATGGATGTCAGTCATTTGTGACTTTAAGGGTGTCTTGACTTAGGTTAGGTAGGAGAATGTAGATTCACAGCAATAAGTGGTTGAAAAACAAGAAAGCATTTTTTGGGTATGTTGCTGAAAGCGTGGGTATTCTACTGCATTTTTCCATATTTCAATTGGATCTTTCTTAGCATCAAACAATGACTTCAAAATGTCATCTCCTGAGAGCTCAATCAATTCCATCTGTAGTTCTTTAGGTGCCTTGGTGATATCAACAAGGTGAGGCTGAAATGCTAACTTGAGTGTGATGTCATGAGTCTCAAAGTCAGTGAAACTTTCATTGTATTCTCCAATTAATAGCTCTATAATAGATGTGTATTCTTCAAATGATTTGCATATATCATCCTACTCATCAATGACTTTTGCTAAATGAGGAAAATGTTCATCTGAAATTTCCTTTTGAAGAAGTGTTTTGAAAAAAGATAGCTTTTTTTTAATGCTTAGATTTTTTGCCACATTTATATGGACTTAGTTTTACCTTGCAAAGAAATATTCAAGTCATTTTTATTTGATATGGTATAACATAGAAATGCTGCATTCCTATAGAAATCTTCTTTCAATAATTCACATTGCTGATTCTGTTCTTCATAAAATTTAACTATCAGTTCTTGCAGAGATAAAATTTTGGCTAACACGTGTCTCTGAAATAGCCAACACACTTTAGAATGATATAGCAAATCCACACTGAATACCTCATCATTCAACTTTAACATATTACAAAACTGAGGATGCTCTGTCACATCTGCACGAATACAGTAACAACACTTATAACTTGCTGCAAAGTATCACTTAAAATAGTAGCTTTCACACAGAGAGATTTTGTTGATGCAAGATACAGTGAAAAGAAATGAGAGCATTTGGATCTATTAATACTTTTATCTATGCAACAAAGTTTCTTCATGTTTTCCTGTCATGGAAGGTGCACCATCTGTACATGTACTCAGTAAATTTACCAGATTCAGTCCAACTTCACAACATTTATCTTTTTTTTTTTTTAGACAGTCTCACTCTGTTGCACGGGCTAGAGTGCCATGGCATGAGCCTAGCTCACAGCAACCTCAAACTCCTGGGCTCAAACAATCCTTCTGCCTCAGCCTCCCGAGTAGCTGGGACTACAGGCATGTACCACTATGCCCAGCTAATTTTTTTCTATGTATTTTTAGTTGTCCAGCTAATTTATTTCTATTTTTAGTAGAGACGTGCTCAGGCTTGTCTCGAACTCCTGAGCTCAAACAATCCACCCACCTCGGCCTCCCAGAGTGCTAGGATTACAGGCGTGAGCCACTGCGCCCGGCCCATGACATTTGTCTTGAAAGTTGTTTAAGATATCTATTCCCTGTGTTCTGCTTGCAAGAGTGCCCAAGGTGAGTAACTCTTTGTAGCAAAGAATATCTTCTGTTACGACCTGAATGAAGTATAAAATCTGTGCTTCATCAGTAGTATCAGTTGATTCATCCAAAGTGAATAATATGTATTTTCCTTTTGATTTATTGCGTGAAGTTGTTGTGTTAAGTTGAAGACTAATTCATGCTGCCAGCCAGTTATGGTTCCCCTTGAAAGAGGCAGTTGTTTGTAGTTTGAAACATTATTGGAATCTAAGCATCCTACAACTTTGACAATGCATTGTTTCACAATTTCTACATCACCGAATGGCTTCCCCTTTTTCCCAAGTATACAAGCTACTTTATAAGTTGCTTCAGTGGCATTATTTCCAGGTCTTATTGCTGCGTGAAAGAACTGTCTTTGCTTCTGCTTTTCATCTTTTAATTTCTGCAATACAACCTTTTGTGCCTCTCCCTCTAATTTAAAATATTTGTGGTCCTTATAAGTGTTATAATGCTGATGAGCATTGAATTTCTTTAATGTTGATATTGCAGTATCACAAAGCAAGCAAATCATCTTATCTTTAGCAGAAACAAGATAGTATTGCAATTCCCAATCCTCCTTAAAAAATCTGTTTTCCTCCTTCAGCATTCTCTTGGTCTTCTTTGACATGTCGGGCTGTTAAGTGAACAATTAAAAAATACTGTCAAGCTGTGCAACTATTCACAAATTCCACTTCAAACAGAAACACAGTGCCCCACTGTCAAAAGGTGTTAACAGACTAGCATACTCAACCCCATAAACTCTGGACAATCAGCCTCATTTGGTAGTGGCACCAGTCAGGCGGGGTAAGTTAGAACCAAATCATGAGCGTAGCAGCCATAAAGTTAGCCTTTATGGCTTACTAATGTCCTAATTGTGCCAATCTGGGAGGATTATTTCATTGAAACTTACTTTACTCTTTGGTATTTTAAATACATTCATTTAAAATATAAAAGACAAACAAAAATGTACTAATAAAAATAAAAGGATTTGTTCTCTAAACTTGGATTTAGTCAAAAGGCCACACTTAAAGACCTACGAGGCCATGTGTGGCCTTAAGACAGCAGGTTCTCCACCCCTGGTCTAAGTGGCCAGAGAAAAGCAAGGACTATGTTCCTTTCTCTGCAGGCTCAAGGACTGTCCTCCTGCAGGTCCTGCTGTTTTTTCTCTCTGCATAACCCCATAGGGCGGCCTCAGGCTCGAACTCACACCCGTTACTCTCAGGCACCATCTGCGGCCCAGCCCCCAGGCTCCCTACGGGGCCCAAGGCTGCGCAGGCGCCCTGCCCACGCTTTATGCACATGCGTACTCAGGTTCGCGGCTGGGAGCCTGCGGGCATAGCGAAAATGGCGGCGGCAATGCGGGTGGCGGCGGCCGGGAAAAGGCTCAGCGTTGTAGCCAGCGGTCTCGGCACAGCGGTCCGCAGCCTTTGCAGCCAGCCTGTGTCCATTAACGAGCGCATCGAGAACAAGCGCCGCACCGCGCTCTTGGGAGGCGGCCAACACCGTATCGATGCGCAGCATAAGCGAGTGAGTTCTGAGGGTCCCACGTGAGCCCCGCCCCCGGCCCACGCGACCAATCATGGCGTGCCCGGCTCCCTGCGCCTGAGGCCTCTCAGCCAATCCGCGCCGTGCCTGGGGGGGCGGGGTTGGAATGTTCACCTTGAGAACCTGTGGCCTTTCGGGTGGCGGCGGGTAAAGCATCTTGTCGCCTTCTCACACTCTACTTTCTGCTGGAGTTTAGACAGACCTGGCTGGCCAACAGCCGGCTCACCACTTGACAAACTTTTGGACAAGTTACTTAATATCTAGGGATCAATTTATCTTAAGCAGAAGATAGTAGTAATTCTTCCCTCACAAGTTTATTGTTGGTATAGTTAACGAAGCAACGATAGGCACTCAGTAAAAAAGGTGTGCTTATTTTCTTGCCCGGTTAAAGAGTGGTGATACGTTCTTTCTCCATCATGGAAACATAAACCTGGGTTGGGGGCTGTGTGTGTGCGGGGGAACTGTGGAACTTCGGCCCGCAGGTTGCCAAGTTAGTCTCCCTAGGATCTTAGCGTGCCTAGACCCGCTGGGTAGCGAAGGCACGTGTGGGAAGCAGGTGGCCTTTCTAGGAATGCACAGGCTATTCTGCTGTTTGGCTGCAGTGAGCAGCTGAGGCACTGCCACCCACCGCTGGGGTTTTGAGGTGAGAATCACAGCCGGCCTTTGGAGCTAAGCTGGCTGGGCCATTTAGCAGCAGAAGAAACTCAGGTTTGGAGAGGAGACCCCGGACTTGAAACCAGGCTTGTTCAGTGCGTCCCTGACTCCTGGGTGAGTCTGGACCCATGTGCTGGATGAGTTAAATAGCCAACAAGAAGGTGCAGAAGTGAAACCCTTACATGTGAAGGGCAGTCAGGCGCAACTCACCAGCATAAGGGAGGTGACTGGGTGGAGGGCTGGGGTCTTCAGTGTAGAGATTCGAACTGCCCTTTAAGTCTAAATCAAGTGCTCATTCAGCTCTCATAAGTTCCCATTTGACAAGAGCTGAAGGTGACAGTTCCTTTTGACACTTGAGAATGAAATGTATAATAAATTTGGTTGATGGTTTGTCGTGCCAAGAGAGCTTTCCCTCCCTACCCTGGGGTGGCTCTGTCAGAGGTGAGGGGACCGCTAGACCATCGTCTAAAAAGGCCTGTCCGTGCTCCTGTGCACTCTTTAATTTGGGGCGTCTTGCGCAATTCCTCCCTGAAATATCGCCTGCACCCTTTCCCAGGCAGATTCCACTGGGTTTATTTAGATACAGCCTCCAGAAGCTGTTTTTCTTTTGCCAAAGCTGACTTAGGAGGCAGACTTCATTTCACCCCTCCTTTCTCATCTCCTCTTAAACAGCATTTGGACTATTTCCATAGAGTAGATTTCCCAGAACTGGAATTAGTGGGTCAAAGGCTATGAATATTTAAAAAATCTGTATGTACATTGCCAAATTGCTTTCCTAAAAACGTATTATACTTTACACAACAGTATGTAGCATTGCCTGTTTGTTTTAACACAGCATCACTGGCTTTGGCTACTTTCCTAAGGGGAAAAAAGTAGCCAATCCGAGGTGCTTTTGAGCGGGAGGGGGACAGTAGGGGACTTGGGGGATTTAGCTCGGGCTGAGGGCTTGGGAGCCCAAGCAGTGGAGTCTCTTTTTTTTTTTTTTTTGAGACAGAGTCTCTCTCTGTCACTCCTGACTCTGTCACTCTAGCTGGAGTGCAGTGGCATTTTCCTAGCTCACAGCAACCTCGAACTCCTGGGCTCAAGTGATCCTCCTGCCTCAGCCTCCTGAGTAGCTGAGACTACAGGTGTGCACCACCTTGCCCAACAAATTTTTTCAATTTTTGGTAGAGGCTGGGTCTCACTATTGCTCAGGCTGGTCTTGAATTTCTTACCTCAAGCGAGCCTTCCGGCCTTGGATTACAGAGTGGTAGGATTACAGGAGTGAGCCACTGTGCCTGGCCCAGTGGAGGCTCTTGATAGATTGAGGGCTCCAACCTCATCTCTTCCAAGAAGAATTTTTTTACTCTTCTCAAGTGAGCTCTTTAGCACTCTCTGTCCACCTCTCCTACTCAGCCACTCCCTGCTGTGGGGTCGCCTCTGTGTCATAGTGTCACTGTCTGCTATGGGGTTCCCAAGCAGGGGCCCTGATGTAGGACAGGAGGAAAAGGAGGAGGCAGAAGAACCAGGAAGTAGTTGGGAGCAAGAGGTAGGGGTTAGACCCTGGTGAGGTATGCTTCTGTAGGCTTCCTTAGAGCAAGCCTGCGAATTCATGAGTAAAGGCTCAGATTCTTTACTAAGCCTGCTTTAGTTCCACCTCTTGCTTCTCCATTCCTTTTCTGGCTCCTTAGGTCTTCAGTAGGTATTTGTGGAACCAGTCATCTGGTTCCGGAGTCAGGTTCTGCTTTACTCCTACTTCTCTCCACCTTCTCCTCCTGTCTCCTTATTTACCTTCCACAACTGGGTGCTTCTGGATTGCCCTACCTTGTCTGATTTCCTTACCAGCTGAAGCCTACTAATAACACTTGTCTGCCTTGGGTAGGTCAGACAGAATGGACGCTTTTGCATCTGGGAGAAGGGGCAAAACTTGTCTTCCTGGCCCTTCCATGAACACCCCTTTTTTGCTTACTAACTTTGTCTATGATGACACTGAGTGATCTTTATTGCCTTTTAGGGAAAGCTAACGGCCAGGGAGCGAATCAGTCTCTTGCTGGACCCTGGCAGCTTTGTTGAGAGCGATATGTTTGTGGAACACAGATGTGCTGATTTTGGAATGGCTGCTGATAAGAATAAGGTAGGTATTTATTCAAATAGTGGTGTGAACACATTCCAGCTGTGGCTCTGCAGACCTGCATGCAAGAGTAATGAGTCTGTAAGGCTTTTCTCCAAAGTCCTGGAGAAGCACTACTGGGGCCTTCAGGTCCCCCCGACACCCTCTTTGTCTACAAATGGAGTGTGTAGGGGCTGCTCGTACCCTGTGCTATGTGACTCAGGCCCAGTTCCCAGGGCTCTGTTGTGGCTTCAGAGTTCTTGCTAGTACAGAATGACAAACTTGGAGGGAGGGGTGAGAATATCTTGTAGTTGTGTTCTGGTCTGTCTGGGAACCAGACACCACGGACCCCTAAAGGCTGGCTAGTTGCCTCTTTTGACACACTTTAAGTTTAGTCTTGGAGTTTTTGAGGTCAGAATTACCAACACTTCTTCCTTCAACTGGGTGCTCTCCATGGGTGTGTGGAGTTCTTTGGACTCACTTTTTTGGCCCAATTTTCTTTAGGTCTGCTTATCTGTTGTTTGTGACCAAAGATTTGTAAACTTGGCACCAAACCAGCTGGCTGCATTTGAGCCATTATGGGTCATGCAGTGATTGCTGAGATTCCATGCAAACAACAGGTTTGCCTTTTTAAGGTTTAGAGTGGGGGTGTGTGGCTTTGGAGAAGTGGCCATGTTTCTTTATATGTCCTCCTCCTCGTGACCATTTGGTAATGGTGGCCCTGGGGGTCTTTTGATTATTTTGCTTTTAGAAAGGATGATGATACCTAAGACTGCAGTACTCATCACTCCTGTTGATGAAGCAGTAGCCCGGTGCTTGCTGTTGCAGAGCCAGGGAAGGAGGTGGGGGGCGTATCTTCATGTTCCTTGTTCATATTGAATTTTAAGGATTTTGGGGTTTTGCTTGTTTTTGTCTTTCGCTGAGGCATAGTTGCCAAATTCATTAAAAGAAATATTTGGGTTTTTTTTAACCTTTACTTTTGCATCTTTATGTTAGTTTCCTGGAGACAGCGTGGTCACTGGACGGGGCCGAATCAATGGAAGATTGGTTTATCTCTTCAGTCAGGTACTTAATAACTCCAACAGGCTGAGCTTTCCTGGAGGACAGAGCCCGGAGCAGAATATGTTAAAGAAATCAACCTTGAAGAATGAAAGCTTGCTTGGAGTTTGAGGCAGATGAGGGATTTACTTTGTTTTTCAGTGCATATATCCAGAATATTATATCGTGTGGGTTTTTTTCTTACAGAGGAAGAGTCCTTAGTCTGTTTTGGGAGGGTTATAGGGTAGTAGGCTTGTACAAAGTTGTCCCAGGAACCAGCAGTTTATTTCAAGTGAGATTCTTCCTGGCAGGGTTGGGTGTGTGGAGGGCATCTGGAGTATCCAGGATAGTGTACTTGAACCTGAGAGAGTGCAGTGGATGCATCCTAGTGAAGGGGACTTGACTCTCAGAACCACGGGCCCCTGAGCTTTGGGCTTTCATGAAAGTGTTCAAACAAGTGTTGTCAGGCAGCATCAGCACAGATACAGTTTGTTCACACTGAAACTGTAGGAGAATGTTGTAGGCAGAATAATGTGGCCTCCCCCCTCGCCCTGATATCCAAGTCCTAATCCCTGAAACCTGTAAATATGCTATTTCACATGGCAAAGAGGAATCAAGGTTGCTAATCAACTGACCTTACAATAAAGAGAGTAGCCTGGATTTCCAGGTGGGCCCAGTATAATCACAAGCGTCCTTAAAAGTGGAAGAGGGAGGTAGAAGAGGAGGTGGAATGATGTGAGGACTTTACCTTGGGTAGCTGGCTTTGAAGATGGGGGACCACGAACAAAGGCGTAGACAGTCCCTAGAAGTTGGAAAAGGCAAGAAAACACATTTTCCCCTGGAGCCTCCAGAAAGGAGTACAGCCCTGCTAACCTTGAGTTTAGCCCAGTGAGACCTGTGTCGGACTTCTAAACCACAGAACTATGAGGTGATAAATGTGTGTTATTCCAAGCCACTGAATTTGTGTTAATTTGTTACAGCAGTAATGGAAAACTGAGAATATGTTGTATACTATTTTGAATTTGACATTTTTTTCTCTAGAGGTGGAAATATATATTAAATATATAATTCAAAATGTTCAGTTCCTTTTACAGACCTAAAGATATATAGCTTGTCTAGGAAGCTAAAATGTTTTTTGGGTTTGATATTAAAAGTCATACTTGGTTAATTTTAAATGTATTGTAGTTACGCAGTACTCATTTACCTTCAAAATGTTTTAAAACTGTTATAAATTGGTGTACCAAATGCTGAACTAGAAGGAATTATACTGTTTTTTGCAATTTATGAGCGCTGGGCAAAAACTCGTACAGAAGGAACCACTGAAAAGATAGAACAAAGAAAGTTATTATGTTTTCTGGACATGATGTTTGCCTAACTATTAAGCAGATACAAAAATTCATTGAGTTGACACTTTTGAGCACCTCTCGTGCCTGGAGGGTAGGGTGGGAGTGAGGAGGAGGTGGAGATAACTCAGACCTCCAAGACCCCGTTCTTACCCTCAATAAGCTAATCATTTTATAGGTAGAATGGGGTCGAACAGAAGTGACTACAGTATGGGTAGGGTGAGAGAGGTTCCAGGCAAATGCTGTAGATTCAGGACAAGGGAAAATCACATCTAGGGTTGAGGAAAGCTTTAGGAAAAATGAGGCATTCGAAACAGGCATTAAAGGGTACTGAGAGTGGGGAGTGATGAGTCGGCTTTTTTGTAATGCTCTCCAAGATGTTAGTATCCATAGCTGTTTTTTCTGGGGAGCGTTTGTTTTTCCAGAACAGCATCCTCAGTCCCTTGCTTGGTACTAGCTGTTGGTGTGTTGGAGGACGAGAGGAGGGAGGGGCCCGCACTGGCTTTTTCAGTGTAATCTCACCTGTTTTCAGCCTCACTTTTGCCTCCTTTAGGCTAGTGATTGTGAGTCCAGAGCCCCTCTGGTTAAATTTCTTTAGACAATAAGCCTCCTTTCTCCTCTTGAGGTGAAGGAGAGGCCCTCTGAGGTCTGTTCCTAACACAGACTTTCTATTAATCTGTTTTCAGCCCCCTCCCCACCCCCACTTTCCCTCTGCAGGTGTGTAGTCTTCCATTTGTTCCCTCTGAGTCAGGTGTTCTGTGCCTTCAGTTCCCCTCAGACTTGTTCAGTCTCCTTTGCTGCTGTTTTCTTGTCCTTTCTTGTCCTCATGGGTTGATTTTGTTTTTAATTCCCTACTGTCTTTTTGAGGGGCTTTTAGGAGGGAGGGCATGCCCACAAGAAGCCCTTTTACACCTGAACATAATGAAAGTCCATAAGCAGAGGAAACAGAGTTCTGAATCATTTTTTTGTTGCTTTTTTACCTCTCTTGTTAAAACAGCAAATGTTTCCTAAAAGTAGAAATGCTTGACTGACATCCATAGAATCCGATATTAGGGTTAAGTCTGCATGATAAGTTTTCCTTTCCTCAGGGGTACAGATCATTTTTGTAGAGCAAAGACTAGGTCTTTTGCTCTCGACAATAGATGAACTACCTTTAAGATAGATTGTACCTCATCCTATGGAATCATCTATAAATCAGACTTTTTTCTAATTTTTAAACTTCTGAAAGTCCTTTAAAAATGTTTATTTATGAATTTTCTATTTTCTCCTCCTACTGGGTCTTCATCTCTGGCCAATCACTATATTTTACTTCTTGATTTGTGTTTTCTTTTTAGGATTTTACAGTTTTTGGAGGCAGTCTGTCGGGAGCACATGCCCAAAAGATCTGCAAAGTAAGTGTTTAATATTGAAATTAATTCCAAAACTTTCATCAGTTACATAATGCATATTGAATATCCTTGAGGTGCAAGACACTGAGCTAGGTTCTTGGAGTGCGGCAGAGGTATGCAAGTTGTGCTGACCCGAAGGGGTGCTTAACATTTATTGTGCCGTGGGCTGGTGAAGCCTGGACCCTCATGTTTTTACATGTATAAAATATGTAGGATTATAAAAGATTAAAAATGTTCTTAAAAAACCACATTAATGTGTGCTTTCTTATTAATGAGTTTAATAACAAGATTTATCATTAAATCTAATAACTAATTTCAAAGTAGTCCTTAGTTAAAAATGATATTTCAGGATATCTGCAACAACTTTAATGTGACATAAAAATATCTGTGGCTTCTATTAATGACAGAGTTACAGGTATTTCTAATACTACTGTGGTTTGTTGCTTATATTTATAATTGAAAGAAATGCTAAAGATCGCTAGAGTTAGTAAAGATAAAGATATAATTTTTTTTCCCATCCAAATTCATGGACTTGCTGAAATCTGTTCACAGACCCCAGGTAAATAACACCTGGTCTGGGTGGAGAGTCCAGGTCCTAGAAGGTAAAGAGCAGTGCAAGGACTGCATGATGGTATTTTAAAAACACTGCTAGAGATTAGATGCTCTGTAGAGAAATGAAAGTGTAGAGCATATTTAGAGAATTTTGGAATTAAAATTTGAGCTGACTATTAGTAGCTGGGCAGGGCTTCCCTTTGTAATGGAACATCTAGAAAGACATGTTCCTGTTGTATATTACTCCTGAGACTTCGGGCCATCACTTGATTTTTGAACTTCCTAATTTTTCTCTTTTTACTGCCTCTGTTACGATGGATAAATGAGGTAATGGAAGTGAAAGTGCTTATAAACTGTTAAGCGCTGTAGGAATGTTGCTCATTATGCTGTCAGAACTATTGACCCATGAGGAAAATCTGTCACATTAGAAGTAAAAGAAGGCCTGGGCCTGGCCTCAGGTTAACAAATGGGTCAACATCTGCTTTCATGAACCTACTACTTTGCCATTCCATCTACTATCAGTTCTTTCTTTATCAGTAAGTGGGAACAAAACTAGAGCCTGTGGTTCTAGAAGTGGTTGCCATGAGCAGTTTTATCCCCCGCTAATGGGAAGTGCTTTGGCTGTAGGGTATTTGGGGACTTTTATCAGATTTTTAAATATCTAGTCCTTTGCCTTCTGTGAAAGTATCCAATCATCATGGGGAACGAAACCAGTGTTACTGCCTCCTGTTTTGAAAAGTGCACTCAGAACCTTCTCCAGAAAACAGTGTGGTGCTTTGTAAATGCTATTTTTGATAACAAGCATTTGTCTCAAAAATTTCTCTGCCATCTCAGATTATGGACCAGGCCATAACGGTGGGGGCTCCAGTGATTGGGCTGAATGACTCTGGGGGAGCACGGATCCAAGAGGGAGTGGAGTCCTTGGCTGGCTATGCGGACATCTTTCTGGTAAGGAACCTGTTAATATAGAACAGAGAGTAAAAAAAAGTGCAGGGCTTAGTTCTGTAAGCTGTGTCCTGGTCAGAGCTTCTCTCTCTCCTCATTGTTCTCTGCTCCATTGTGTCTGTTCTGTGGCTCTTTCCTGTGTCACTGGGGGTGGAGTAAAGGGTGGATGAAAAGCAAGAGAGAATGGGAGGGGAGAGTTTTCTTGTTTTCTAACAGATGACCACTCAGGGGAAAACAAAATTAGATCATTCATAAGGGAAAAGCACTTGAAATATTTCTTTTTTTCAAAAGCAAGAGAGGAAAAAAAAAAGCATTGAAGAAGAAATAAATAAAAGTAAAATAAAACTTTTATTTTCTTAAAAGCAAGAGAGGGGAGGAATATGGAAAGTTAAAATGAACTGCTTTGCTAGAATTATAATTTTTTAAATAAAAAATATGGAGTGCTTTTTATTTTTGGTTAAAACACTACAGAATCATTATATAAAGTTCATACAGTAGTACAAATAATACAGAAATCACCCCGAATCCTACCATTCAGAAACATTTGGTGAGCATGATTTCAGATATCTCTCTGCTTATTTACAGACTGAAATTATGAGAGAGAAAGAGAAGAAAAGACCCATCAAATAATGTGTTATGTGAAGTATGATGTATATTGAGAAATATCGTAAGGGAGTTTGGGATGGAGAGAGATACTGCCAGGTGGAATCTGGCAGCTTTTCAGGGAGGAGAGGCCAGCAGAGGCAGAACAAAGGAAACAGACAGACAGACGTTGTTTCTAATCAGGCCAGCTACTCTTGCTGTCTCTGGTCTGCAGGCTTATCAGGGTTCTCATCCCTGACCACTGCCCCTGTGATCAGTCAGGAAAATGTGCATTTACTTTTTGTAAGATACTCTAATAGTTGTAGGAGTACTTAGGTTTTTGAGAAGCCGCTTTTTGCAGGTCTTAAACATTCTTTTTAATCTTTAAACTGGAGCCCCAGGGATAAACCACTGTGGAGAGAGTTAGTTCTGTGGGTGGCTTGCCCTGAACTGTTTAGTCCTGGAA